TTCGATTTGCACCTCTTAAAAGACAATTTTAATCTCGAATTAATCACTTAATTAAGTGGAATTATCATTTTTCTCTATATCCTTTGCTATTTTTTGCCTTGGTGTCACCCCTTAAATGGTGTCACCCGGTGCGGTCCACACCCCCCCCCCCCTCCGCTAAGCCTCTATCCATAACTAACATGTATCAGAAGAAAAACATTTTTTTTTGTGATTTATTCTATGGTGTTGTCTTTCTGTTTCCTGTAGGTCCCATGCCTGATCTAACCCAGTTACTCAACTCAATGGGACCTGCGCCATCAGCTGCAGGCACTGGTGCACCAACAGGTGGTCTAGGTGAGTACATGACCGACCGCATGTATTGTTGTTGATGTGGGTGCGTGAGTACACAGGTTGGCTTGTTGTGTACGTGTACAAACAGGTGTAGTGGCTGAGTACATGTACACACAGGTGGGTTAGATGTTAATATGTACACACAGAAGTTATGTGTAGATGTGTATATATATATTCACTGGTGGGGTATATTAATTATTTACACACACGGTCTGTCTAGATGTGTACATATACACACTGGTGGCTGTATAAGTACATTTACACATGGTCGTAACTGAGTACATTTACACAGGTTGGCTTGATGTGTACATATATACAACAGTTTTCTAGGTGAGTACAGGCATAAAAAGTCGGTATAGGTGATAAGTACATGTACACAGAGGTAGGCTAGATATGTGCATGTACACAGAGGTGGGCTAGATATGTGCATGTAGACAGAGGTGGGCTAAATATAAACATGTACACAGAGGTGGGCTAGATATGTACATGTACACAGAGGTGGGCTAGATATGTACATGTACACAGAGGTGAGCTAAACATGTTCATGTACACAGATAGGCTAGATATGTACTTGAACATAAAATGGGCTAAATATGTACATGTACACAGAGAAGGGCTATATATGTACATGTACACAGAGGTGGGCTAGATATGTACATGTACACAGAGGTGGGCTATATATGTACACGTACACAGATAGGCTAAATATGTAATTTTACACATAGGTGTACGCTTTTCATGTATTTCGCTTAACATAATGAATACAACATACACAGTATACGTTTTTTTTAGATATGTACACTTTTATTAACATAATGAATATAAAGTACATATTATACATATTTTTTCCAGATATGTCTGCATTCCTTAATATGGTTAACCCACAACCTGGTTAGTACACATTCATTTAACTTGAATTAGCAACAACACAACAACACAGAACTGAGGACTGACAATAAGGGGAAGTAACAATATTAAACAGGGGACTTAACTATATTTAACAGGGGACTTAACTATTATAAGCAGATGACTGAGCTACAACAAGCTGTGTACTTAGCTATACTAAACAGGGGGGATTAACTATATTAAACAGGGGACTACAACAAGCAGGGCGCTTAGCTATATTAATAAGGGGGATTAACTATATTACACAAGGGGTTTAACTATACTACGAAGGGGACATAACTAAATTGTAAAATTTGCTGACAAAACTATAACAAACGTGGGACCTAACTATATAAGAAAATAATTATCAATAAAAAAGTTTTTAAAAACCCACGTTTTCTGATTGAACTAAAAAGTTGACTCTCTACAAGCTCCCTAATAAAAGTCAATAGTATTATCTAATCAATAGTAATATAACTTTTACTTCGGCGCCCCACGTTTTTCATCGCTTATAGTAGAGTGATCGCTTGCATTATTGTGATGTATAGCATTTATTTTCTACTTTTTAGTTCAATCAGAAAACGTGGGTTTTTTTTTAACTTTTTATATATATATATATATATATATATATATATATATATATATATATATATATATATATATATATATATATATATATATATAGTCTTAGATATATCTATAATAATGTTCGTGTTGATATAAAGATATATTAACTTAAAAGATAGTTAATAGTTGTTTATCAAGCCCAGTGGTTCTTACATGAGACTGGCTCACCGAATTTCTGGGGTTCGATTGAACCCAGATTAAGATTAAAGGTCTTGCCTTACGGTCTTGCTCTGTAGACAGACGACTTTATTTAGATTTTTTTTTTCGTTTTATCTAAGATGACTCTTTTTAAATAGTTAGAATTTTATCGTCTAGTTATGAGGACAGAGACTTACTTTATAACGTTTTTTTTTGTTTTATCAAAGGTTGACTTTTTAAACAGTTAGGATTCGATAGTTTATTTATGAGGACAGAGACTAACTATATAAAGATAATTTTTGTTTTAATTGCGTGTAAAGTGAGACTAGATTTATGAAGAACAATTTCCTTTTGCAGCTGTTGGTCCAACGCCAACAATGACAGATCCTTTTGCCACAGGAACAATGGGATAGGTGGGTTAAACAGGTGGGTTAAACCTGTGGGTTAAACAGGTGAGCTTTACATGTGGATTAGGTGGGTTAAACAGTTGAAATAAAGCGGTGAGTTAAACAGTTGAGTTAAACCTGTGGGCTAAACAGGTGATTTTAACGTATGGGTTAAACTAAACCTGTGAGTTAAACCGGCGTTAAACATGTAAGAAGGTGAATTATACAGGTGGGTAAGGTTAGTTAAACCGGCGGGTTCATAAGATAAGTTAAACAGGTTAGTTAAACATGTGTTAGGTCGGCTAAACAGGTATGTAATGTGAGTTAACCTGGTTGGTTAAAAAGATGATTTAGCTAAGTGATAAAAAATGAAAAAAAAAATTGCAACGGAAATTTACGTAAAAATGATTCAAGAATACCAAGAAGTTTAGCAAAGTATGACAACTTCTATAACTAAATAAGCCTACTTCATTATAATGAGTCTGTATTTGAACACTTTTATGTTTTCGATATTTGTTTTCGCATTCATTGCGTATATTTCTAGAAACCGTCACTTATAAACCAAAAAGATATTTCATTAACACCATTCAATATTAATATTATTTCTACCTTTTCCTAGGTTTTCCTCCATCTAACGTAGTTTGAAGCCCAGGGATTCTCAAACAAATTTTTTTATGGCATCACACAGTCAGAAAGCAGTCCACCAACCCCTGATTAAATCTTATTATACCCTTATCATTGTCAGCCCTGTATTTTTACTGTCCGTATTACGTTGCGAAATAAATTATTTTAAAGGTTTAAATTGTGTCTGTTATATTTTTGTAACAATTATTGTGTATGACAGAATGCACAAGGTGAATAATTTCTATCGAGGCTATATATCATAGCCCTCAACTGACCCAGTGATACATTTTTATTACATTTGCCGTTGTCACAAACAGTAACGAATAGTCAAAGCTTAGCGCAAAGTATCACACTTTGCCACAGTGTATCTACATAGCAAAATTATAGCAAAATTTAAAACAATAATTGATACACTTAGTCACCGTATATACAATTTGTCACTTGAAACATGAACTGGAATAATCAGACAGAACCAACCACAGAATTACTGTTTCGAAATACAATAACAGCTGGGAAAATACGTCAAAAATGAATACCCAACCACAACACAAAACCGTCAATAAAAATGTTGTTAATTAGCCGCTCTGAAATATGTGCATTTCACGTTGCAAAGAATGATATGAGTGCAGAAATAAATTGCAGCCAGCCGCAAATTGTCACATCGCAAAAAAAAAACAAAAAACGGCATTCGGGCAATTGTCATTTGGGAATTTGTCGTAGACCCAGGGGCGTAGCGATGTGGTACGGAGATGCGGACCGCACCGGGTAACACCATTTAGGGGAGTGACACCAAGGCAAAAAATAGCAAAATATATACAGGAAAATGATAATTACATTTAAATAATTGGTTAATTAGAGTGTTAAATAATCTCTTAGTAGCAAATTTGACAAATCCCGACAAGGTGGAGGGGGGGGGGGGGGGTGACACCATGACGTAAACCTGCTAATGATAGAGAAAACATGCTACATTAAGCACTGTTTAAAGCAATCGCCGTGGGAGGAGGGGGTTAGTGGGGGGGGGGGGGTTACATTAACTCAACGTTGCAAAATATGCCTGACGTAAACTGTTTGAGTATCGTAATGACTTATATGTTAATCCATGTATGGGGGGAAGGTAAAAATTAAATACATTAAAAAATATGTGAATACATACACATGCGTATATACATACTTACTTATAGAAATTCAAATTTGCCTTGTGGCAATAGAACTTACCGGGGCATTATATGAGCTATATTACACGAGAGTCAAGTTTTGCCATATGAACGGGTTGTTATAGTATGCAGGCTTGGGAGTTCGGACTAGGGAGAATGTAAAAGATATTCCGTGTAATGCCAATATCAAGAATAGTTTTATGTTTATTTATACGAGAATAGTAGTTGAATAAATAGTCAACAAGAAAATAATTGGCGTAGTGTCAAGCAATTATCGCCTGTATCGTGGTGTATCGTGGTGATATGAATGCACATGGTAGTGGTATTCCTTAAATGGTAGTAGTTCGCGTAGGTCAAACACGACCCTCTCACAGTAGCCCTAACAATCACGAATAAAGGTGTCATGTAGTCCATAAAGAGATCTTTGTGCTAAAATTTCTCTTTGCGCATTTTTCGGTGTGCACACTTTTCTGTGTATGCTTTTTTCTGTTTGCGTTTTTTTTCTTTTTTGCGCTTTTTTTTGCACTGCGCGTTTTTCCGTTGCGCTTTTTTTTTGTTTGCGCTGTTTTCTGTGTGCGCTATTTTCTGTTTCCGCTTTTTTCTGTTTGCGCTTTTTTCTCTGTGCGCTTTTTTCTGTTTGCGCTTTTTCCGTTTGCGCTTTTTTCTGTTTGCGCTTTTTTCTGTTTGGCTTTTTTCTGTTTGCGCTTTTTTCTGTGTGCGCTTTTTTCTCTGTGCGCTTTTTTCTGTTTGCGCTTTTTCCGTTTGCGCTTTTTCTGTTTGCGCTTTTTTCTGTTTGGGCTTTTTTCTGTGTGCGCTTTTTTCCGTTGCGCTTTTTTTCAGTTGCGCTTATTTCCGGTCACTATTTGATCGTCACTAGGTCGAGTTAGGTTAGGGGTCATCAATTTTTTTATGACGTCCACAAAAATTTCGGATTTTAGACATAGAAATATTTTCGATAATGTTTATTATTAGGTCAAAATATTTAATGTAGAATGTAACCCGCGGAGAGAAAAATTAGTATGGTTCAAACGACAAAGTGTAACTTTTTTTTTTTTAAATTGTAAGGATTTTCCCCACTATCGACACAGTATAGGCCCCTAATTCTCTGTACTCGTTACATAGTATTAATTTCTGTACTCGTTGAATGCATTTCTTCTTCCCCCCCCCCCCCCCCCCTCCCCACACACACACCCGTGTGAACGTCATAAATGGATGACCCCTTATGAACGAAATTCACTCAGACACCTCGTGAAACTTATTACTGAATAGCATCGTTTGATGGTTCTTTCGATTACTTGTTTCTGCGACTACTATAAAAACATACATTTTACAGATACTCCATGGAACGAATATATATAATCGTCCATATACAAGCCGATCCAAATGGACGATTACGATATTTGGTAGAGTTACAACTGATTTGAAACACATAGTATTAGATTTAGATCTAGATCTAGAAACAGTTAGATCTAGAATGGTAGGCGTGCCAACCACAGTTTCAGAAAAAAAAGTGTTGTAAGGTCAAGAAAAAAGTGAGTCTTTAGTTCTTCTTTAATTCCTTTTAACTAGTTGTACTCATATTTTATTTTTATTTTCAAATATTTTGCCTTAACCATAATTTTAATTTATGAAGGACTAACTCTCTAGTTCTTGCAGTACAGTAATAATTAATAATTAGATATCTAGATCTAGATCTATATTAAATTAATAAGCTAGGTAGGCCTAATTAATTTATTTTAGGCTTAAATCCATATCCTATTATTCTAGATAGCTAGTCACAACTATAATTATTATAGTATAATGAACTATAATGGTGTAGATTGGGTCCAAATTTACATCTGTAACAGCTGGTATCATTATCATGATTTTATTTTTTGTGTGTATGTAGATCTATTACTTGTACAAAATTAATTAGAATCTATAGCCTTGCTCAGAGCCTTGGAAATAGTACTAGTTTCTGGTGCAGTAGGTTGTATTGTATTTAGACTTAAGTAAAGTTCGGCTAGTTCTATTTGTTCTTTAGTGAATCTTTACAATATTTTTTTAAATTTAAATGCACATACAAAACGGCGCTCTGGTGACCTGGTTTCTCTTGTTCATCTAATCTAGAGTAGTCTAGACATATGTGTTGTCTTTGATGGGACAGTGATTAACCAGTGCCAGTATTTCTTCCAGACTTTTTTTTCTCCAAGGAGGGGAGGGGGCACTTAAAATTTTCGGGGGGGGGGGGGGGGGGGGGGGGACACTGTTAAAAGTATATAGATCTAGATCTATTAAAATCTATTTTCTTTTTAAATTTCATTTCGTTTGGTGGGGCGGGACGGGGGGAGGCGAAGAGGTGCATGGGAGAAACAGTCATTAACTAGGCCAGATTCTGTAAGGCCAGTATACAAACAATTGAAATTTCATCTTTTTTTTAAAAAAACTGATTTAAAAATTTGCAAAGTGAGATGTATTGTAGTTTGGCCAATTACGCTGAGATTAATCAAATCTTTTACATTTCATGTAGGCCTACTTTATTGATTTCACCTGTATGATTCAGGGAATAACAAGTTGAGGATGGTAATACTTTTTCTATGATATATTCTTTTTAATATTAGCCATTGCAGTAAAATGTAGCCAATTTAATTAAGAGTAATTAACCTAGATAAGATTGTTTTATTGCAGCCAGTTTGGTACTGGAAGTAGATTTCAATATATTTTATATGCCAATCAGGATACTACTACAGATGTTCTAGATCTAGATGCAGAGACAGGAGAACTCGTACCCGCACACCAAATTTTGGTAAACTATGGTAAAGATTAGTTTTATTCTTCAATTTTAAAGCTATGATACTTAAATACTAATGGTTAACTGTTTGTAATAGTTATAATCTGCCTTTTCAGTATTGAATGTCCATAGACATACTATTTGGCCTAGCATATTGGTTATTGGTATGTCTGATTTACACAGCAATGTAAATATATTTATTCCAGCACTGAAATTCACACAATTTTAATTTCTCTTATTGAGTCCATTTTACCCTAAAACTCGTAGTTATATTCTTTCTGGTGAATCAGTGTATGGGGAATATATTTGTTACATGTTTAGTCTACTAGTTTTTACCCACATCTGCCTACTTAAACTTAAACCACCCATTTACATTTTCTTTTATATAGTAGTTGTCTTGATATCAATCTGTAGGTTGGCTAATTAGACCAAGATTAATCAAATCTTTTATATTTCATGTACTTCATTGATTTCACCTGCTTGATTCAGGAAATAATTTGATGACGGTAATACTTTCTCAAATATATATTCTTTTTATTTTAATGTTAGCAATTGCATTAAAAATGTAGCCAATATAATTAAGAGTAATTAACCTAGATAAGATTGTTTTATTGCAGCCAGTTTGGTACTGGAAGTAGATTTCAATATATTTTATATGCCAATCAGGATACTACTACAGATGTTCTAGATCTAGATGCAGAGACAGGAGAACTCGTACCCGCACACCAAATTTTGGTAAACTATGGTAAAGATTAGTTTTATTCTTCAATTTTAAAGCTATGATACTTAAATACTAATGGTTAACTGTTTGTAATAGTTATAATCTGCCTTTTCAGTATTGAATGTCCATAGACATACTATTTGGCCTAGCATATTGGTTATTGGTATGTCTGATTTACACAGTATACTATATAGGCATAAGTAAAAACATTCATTCCAGCCCTGAAATTCACAATTTTAAATTCTCTTATTTAGTCCATTTTACCCTAAAACTCGTAGTTATATTCTTTCTGGTGAATCGGTGTATGGGGAATATATTTGTTACATGTTTAGTCTACTACAGTTTTTACCCACATAGAGCCTACTTAAAGCACCCATTTACATTTTCTTTTATATAGTAGTTTTGATATCAGTAGTTTCGCTAATTATACAGATATTAGTCAAATCTTTTACATTTTATGGACTTCCAAAATTTAACCTTTTACAGATACTGTGGAAATGAAGGTAATTCTTTTTTCAACAAGGAATACTTTTTTGGATATTTAGTACTGAGCAAAAATTTAGAGTAATAAACCACGATAAGATTTTTTCATTGTAACTGTAAGTAGATTTTATTTTTTTAAAATTATTTTTCAGAAATTCCAAACCCCAGAACCTGACCTGATGTTAAATAGTCTACTTAGAGTTTTAAATTTATATAGCACAGTAGTTAAAAAAGTTACACATTTAAAAATAGACCTTCAAAATTACCACACTGAAGGTTCAACTATGACTTGGTTTCAATGTTTTAAATCAATTGAGAACAGTATAAATTTTGAATGCGAGACAAATCCTTATGAAGAAACAGGTCAACCAAACTTCAGAGAAGTTTTATGCCTTGCATGTGTGTTTTCTGCATGTAATAAAAGTCTTCTTGGACTACTAAAGTCCTCTAGTTCACATACACTTGAAAGGGTAAAGTATTGCATTATAACTTTGTACACAGGAATTATTTTAGACTTTAACTGCAAAGCTGACTTAATGCCAGTTTTAAACAGCTTTATAATGCCTTAAACTCCTATCATGAATTTTACTTTTGTAATTTGGGTACTAGTTTTTTAATGGACCCTGTAAGTGAAGTAAAAATCTCTTATAATTTTAACTTTAAATTTTAAATAAAAGTATGTACTGATTTTTAAAAAAATACATTTATTTCTACAGACCACGCTCCTATTCCTTGTGGAGAAAATGTCAGATGCATTGGACACATTCCTGATGTGTATCCCTTGGGATGATTCATGGAAGGTAATGCTACTGACTCAGTTGCCATCACTGGAAAATGCACTCATGAAGTTCATGAACTCTTTCACAGAACAGTTCTTGCTAGATCAACTTATCATCTATGACATAGACATTTTATGTTCGCTATTGTGTTTGCGCCAAAAGTTTGCAGAAAGTCTGAAAAAAATCACCACAGAGTGGTGGTTCCACCAAGAACAAACATATCATATTCTTGGTTGGTTGAAGAATTTTAAAGAGTTATTCCAGTCAGACAATGTATTTTATGACATGGGCTTTTGTGAAAGCAAAGCAAAATGGATGGCTCAAAGATTACCAATAAGCAATTGGATTCTGCAGACTCCATACTACTGGGTGAAATCCCACATAATAAGTACATATTCCAATCATCCCCTTTTGGCAGTTTCTAAAGATTTTCCTTATGAACCTGTATTTCAACCAGCCACTTACCCGTACCCAAGTCAGAATACAGTTTTTGATACAAGAGTTGATTTACTAAGTCCCAGACAAGAAGGTACTGCCATAATTAAAGTCATTAATGCAATCAGTTCCTGTTGTCAGGCAACTCAAAATGTTATCGACAGTTTTCTAAGCCAACATGCCTTAAGTGACCAAGATTTTTTTTACCATGGCACGAACCATAAATCAGCTGTCAACATTATACAGTGTGGGTTACAGCCAACTGCTGGAAGGTCAAGCCAAGATTTCTCGAGCCGTGATGGAGTATATTTTTCGGAATCATTTTTAGATGCCAAAGAATGGGCTTCACAGAGATTTGCTAAACCTGCAGTAATGATATTTCAAGTCCCAATAGTCATGCTCTTTGAATCTGTTAACAATGGACGAGACCTAACACCAGAAACACAAGAAAATCACCAAGAATGGGTTCAGACTGTAAATTTCTGCAGAAATAAATACAGGAAGAAGCAAGAAGAACCAGCCAATTTCAGATCATACAATTTTATCAGGGGTGCGATGTGCCGAAACCCACATCAAGTAAGACGGAACCTTGCACCGATAAAAAGTCGTAGAATGCAATTGTGCATCAGAAACATTGATTATGCTAGCCATTTTGGAAGTTTAAATAATCTTTTGGTAGTTGTTTTCTACAAAAATATCTACTAGTCATTTTTTTGACATAAAACCATGTTCCTGACTTGAAATTTCATGTTACTGTAGCTCTTTTTTTTGTTCCAATTAAAAACATTAACAGATTAAAGTATTGTTATGTTAAGAATGTTGTCTATATGATAAATAATTCTAACCAAATCACTTCTATGGTATAATTGGCCATCTTACACTTCTTGGGAGGCTTTAAGACCAATGTTATATGCCAACAATGTAAATAGAAAAATATGTTGCTTCGAGTTACAATTTTTTGAACAATATTCTTAGTCTTTTAGAAAAATATCTGAAACTAGTGATTTTTTTAATACATAAAACAATGTTCCTGACTTGAAATTTCATGTAGCTCTTTTTTTTGTTCAAAATTAAAAAAGCTAACCAATTAAAGTATTATGTTAAGAATGTTGTCTATATGATAAATAAAAGTCTAACCAAATCACTTCTATGGTATTATTGTCCATCTTACACTTCTTGGGAGGCTTTAAGTAAGACCAATACTATATGCCAACAATGTTTAATAGAAAAACATGATAAATACAAGTCTTACCAAATCAATGGATGATAAATTCGAAATAAAAAGTAGAGTTCAAACCCTCTAGCAGATAAGGCTTGATCCCTTCCTACACTAAAAATTAAGAATTGAGAATACATACAACACTCATCCCGGAAGCATGTTGACCCCCCCCCCCCCCCCACACACACACAGAAACTTTAAAAGAAACACTGCAGGGATCCACTATACATTAAAAATAGTATAGTTGTTACACCACTACACCAATATTATAATGAAATGTTGGTTGTGGGTTGTTTTTTTTTTAGCAGACAGCCTGAAGTTAGAGTTTGTGTTAAACTAAAGGAAATTGTAAAATAGATACCCAAAAAGTTATTTTTAAGGGGAGATCTACGAAAAAAATTTAAACCTGCAATCTATAGGCCTATAAATGTATAGCCTAATAAACAGGTTTTGAATGCAGTTTGGAATGTACAAAAGTGAATTTCAGACTTTAACCCTAAATTGCATGAAACATTTGTTTTAGTTGGTAAAATTTAAAAAAATTTTTGACTTCATATCTCTACAGCAAATAGCCTAACTTGAGATTTAGGAAAATTTTGAATAGATAAATATCACAACAATTTTGGTTGTTGCAATTCTGCAACTATGCGCAACTGTCAAACTTTTTTTCCATAAGAAAAAATCATTTATATAGAATTGTTTATAGAAATGTATATAACGTGTACACAGGATTGGAGAGTAACTATAGTAAAAAAAACAACTGAAAAATCACATGCGGGTTTATAGTAAAATATTCACATTTTGATTTGTTTGCTATACGACAAATAAAAACTTCAGTGCCTTGTTGGTGCAGGACAACCTGCAACTAAATGATGAACCAATTGTCAATGTAAAGCTTGATCCTAACATATTGGGGAACACTCTGAAATAATGTCCGCTCAATATTAGCAACAGCACCAATGTCCTCTCGTCCTTTTGTAGCTTTACCTGCATGCACTTCAAAAGCTTGGATTATACAACAGTTGTTGGACACAACAAAAACTTTGGAACTCATCTATATGGCTTTTTATGGTTGTAGGTTTGACTGCTTTTGCCCTCGATACGTGAATGGGTAGATTTGCTCATCAATACTTATCTCAGTTGGCATGGGGTTTGATAAGCACAGAATTCCAATATTGGTCAACTTCTTCTGCCCTTTGAACATTGTTTGACAGGTGTAGCTTATTCTTAATCCACTTGAATCTATTGATGGATATGTCTGTGACAGTAACACATTAGGTGGCAAGGCACCAATATCTTTGGGATCTAGAATGATTTTTACAATGTTTATGTAAAACACATTTTTCAGGAAATTTTTTCGTATTTATGCAGTACTAGTGGATTGTTTATGTCCTGCTGAGGACATAATTTGACAGGTGCGGATTATTCTTAATCCATTGAATCCGTTGTAGGTCATGACTTATGTTACCGTAATAGTTAGTAATACACTTGGTGGCATGGCTCCAATACACTCGACATCTTGGAGTTTTTAGAATCTTTATGTAATACACACAATTCCTAGGAAATGTTTTAGTTGGTTCTTATCCAGTGCTAATGGATTGTTTGTCCTGTTCAGGACATTGTTTGACAGGTGTAGATTATTCTTAATCCGCTTGAATCTTTTGATGGTCATGAAGTCTGTAACCATAGTACATTTGGTGGCAAGGCAACAAAACATTCAGCGTATAGGAAATATTTATATTGTTTATGTAAAATCCAATTTCCAGGAATAATCTTTATTGACTGCTTAAGGACTGTTGATGTTATGTTAGAGGACAGTACAGGTTGGATTCATACACAATTGTCTGAACACAGATTATCTATAAAGATGACGTTGAAATAATCCAATTGCCGCTTCTGAGGTTTGGCTTCTCTCCTAGGATCAGTAAATGGTGGAACATTTGCTGTTTACTGGTACTGATCATTCTGTTGAAGCTAAAGACGACCTTGATGTAGACAATTGAGAAGGTCCTGAGGAGTTTCATCATTTTTCGCTGTAGAAATAAATTTAGAGAACATTATTTGGTAATAAATTACGCAATAATTGTATACAAATAATAAATGCTTTACTAATCTACAAGCAAAGAATTAAAGTATGCATTAGGGAATAATAATGTTACCTTCAACTACGTCAGACAAATCTTCATCAACAACATCTGATAGGTCCCGGGTAATGTTCACGTTCTCTATTAATCGTCATTGGACAACTCACTATCTTCAGAGTCAAAAGGAGTAGCTCAGCTTAGATCCATGGTTACGAATATGTGAAAGCCTAAAATAAAAACAAAAGGTTATTCACAACTGTGATTCATTAGCACCAAGCCTAGCTCTAACTAAACTCTAGAGCTAGATCTAGATATAGATCTAAATAATAATAGCGTGTATTTCGAAAATTGAAAATTCGTTATTTTCGGGAGGAAAAGATACCGATCGACGCGTAATTTTTTTTACTGAAACTACTTTTTATACTGTGTGTGTGTCTAGCAAAGTTTATTTAGCATATTTCGATTTTAAAATTTTTGTGTTTATAAAAAATTTGGATTAATCTGCCACCATTATTTTTCCTCTTACATTAACTCTTTACAATTCTCAGGTTTAGTAGAAAAATATTGGAGTACACTGGTCTCAATTGTAAAATGTCCACTAGACATTATTAAACAAGGGAAGTATATAGTGTTATGCACCATTCTTTAGGTAATTGAATAGAGAATCAGCAGAGATTAAAAAATCCAATGTAGCAGGTATGGCCTTGAGGGCACAATTAATTAATTAATTAAATTTGATTTTACTTTTTTAAAAACAATTACATGAAAAACACCAAGAACAAAAAAAATAAGCCAAGTCCTATAATGAAACAAAGTAATGTTTATTGGATAGATAAATCATTTCTGCATTTAAAAAAGGTGATGTGATGCAGTTAGGAAAAGAACTAAAAAAAAAAAAACAATAACATGACCTGTGTAAGGGGAAATAAGTAAAAAATTTATAAAAAAGTAATCTGCAAAGAAATTAATATAAAATAGGATAAGGTTATTGATAACAAAATAAAAACAATAAGATTCAAGAAGATTCATGAAATTATAACAAACATTTACTCTTTTTGTGAATACAGATATGTATCACAAGTGCGACACTTAGTGCTGACCCCCCCCCCCAATATTTATTACTTATAATCCTGAATACTAATTGCTTGATCAACATACAACTGTGTATAATTACTTCCTACCTATGTTCTGCTGTTTACCTTTACTGAACCATTAGCTGTCTTAAAGCTTGACACCACAGACTGTTTTATTATCGCGCCACTCAACTGTTACAATGTTACCCTCGCTAAACCATAGCATGTCACCTCTTTTTTGCAACTTTTTCAAAAGACCTATCTTTTAGGGCAATAAGAAAACCTTTGCTATTTTTATAATTGTGCCACAAACACCAATTCCACATTTAAAAGATCTTTAAATAGTTTAAGTTTAGTGTACAAGTTGTCAAAAAATAAAAGATATACCTCACGCAAGACTGATTGTGACAATATGGTAACTACATCATAAAATAAGCCAGAGGTGGAAGTCTGTGGTGTCTTGTCTTCAAACATCAGCAAACCTAAAAAAAGAACTTATTTATAGATCTATAGTTAAATTTGACCACCTTTTGGAAATAGGTCTTGTAAGTCCACAGTGTGCTGCATAATGGTTGGTATACATAACAATTGTCTTCACCATATCCACTGTAAAGTACAGCTTGACGAAATGACACAGAGCTCAGGGATTCCCTAGCAGCTCTTTTAGTTAAAATGTCCCCATTGACTAAGATGTGTTCCATGTTTCTTAGCAGGTTGGAATTTAGGATCTGGAGGTCCACCATCTATATGTTGACTTCATGACTTGGCTAGATGATTTATTATAAATAATTTAGCATGTATTTCGAAAATTAAAATGTGTTATTTTCGGGAGGAAAAGATACCGATCGACGCGTAATTTTTTACTGAAACTACTTTTTATACTCTGTGTGTGTCTAGCAAAAGTTTATTTAGCCTATTTCGATTTTAAAATTTTTGTGTTTATAAAAAATTTGGATTAACCTGCCACCATTATTTTTCCTCTTACATTAAAAAAAAAGTGTCTCCGATATTGGTAGTACACAACTTGATGACGTCATACTCGTCAAATTATATTTTCGGATTTTTCGTCATTTTACTATAAATTGTTAATGTAGTATTTTATTATGAGTTTGACTTATCAAAATTATATTTACTATACACAACTAGGCCTATTAATAATTAGGCCTATTATCAAAGGCGTAGCGACCCTTCCCGGCGCCAAGCTTACGATTTGCACCCCCCCCTCAAACTTTCAATTTGTTTTTCCAACCCATTTTGGCGCCCCCCCCCCCCCCCCCCCGCCTACGGACAGCGCACTAGGCGACATCCTAGTTCGCCTTATAGGTACGCCGGTCCTGTCCATAAATGACGTCATACTTTTCCCGATGAATTCCCTTTCCCCCAATCGTCACTAAAAGCAAGATGATGATTTAATATCATATCGCAGTTCTACTATACCCGAACGCGTAATCACAATTTCTAATGAAAACGAATATATTCTTCATCATTTTTAAACAAAAATATTTTACCCCGTCCTATATTTTGAGTCCAACGTTATTTATGAAGAATATGGACGACCTAATAATTGACAAGTTTATCAGTACAAAAGGGTTTAATAAATGATGGACCTCCCAAAATTTTGTGAGATCTTGGATGTACATACATATACATTACATACTATGTAGCCTTCATTTCAATTGAAATTAAAGATAAGAAGATGGCCCTATGTCCTACTTATATTAAACAAGATAACTATGTTTATTAAACAACAAAGTCAACACAATATAATATATTGTGTTGACTTTGTTGTTTAATATATTGAATATATACTAATATATAGTTTTACTGCCTATTTAAGTATTAGGCCTATATTATTATATTTTGTAAAATTTGACTTAAATATACTTATTTAAACAAATATATTCATCAGTTACCTCTCCCGCACATTACTACTGCAGCCGAATTGATTACGCTAAAACGATAGATTACCATGATTAATTTCATGGTGGGGCAATTTAATTAAAAATGTTAAGTCTTAAAAACTTAACATTGAAAAAAAAAAAGTTGTCAACTCACCGATGACATTCCCTTGTATTGATATTGCCTTGTATGTTGTGTTGAGTTATTAACTGAGATATTTCCCAAATCATCGTTTGAATCTTCGAATTCTGTTTCCACAATATCTTCATCAGACGATTCATCACAAAATCTTATATCACTTGCGGTGTTAAACATTTTATTTTCATTTAATTCGAAGAGTCTGTCTCAAATCGACTTCACTAAAAATCCAAAATGGCGAAAGTAAGGCATGCTCGGTTCAAGCGTTTTCTTTCGCTTTTTACTTTCTCGTATATAGATCTACGAAGTATAGAGAAAGTATTGTAATCGTGAAAAAAAATCGAGATTTTTACAAATCTCGACGTTTTACACCTCACTGATACGGAAAAACATAATTTTGCAATCTTGTCCGTATGTCTGTGTGTGTGTCTGTCTGTCTGTCTGTGTGTAAACACGATTACTTGAGTACCGTTACAGCTAGGTTGATGAAATTTCATATATAAGTATTATATCAAAATCGTAGATCCGTATCAACTTTTGAGCGATTTCCGACAACCGGAAGTGGTACTTGTCTACTTTGAATTTTTCAAAAGCCTATAACTTGAGTACTAATTCAGATAGATAAATGAAATTTCACAGGTAAGTAAAAGATCTAATTCTCTACCTTCTATCAAATTTTGAGTAATTTCCGTTGACCGGAAGTACTAATTTACGCTATTTCCGATTTCTCAAAAAACGCAAGTAAATTTATAAAGTACTAATAATATTGCGCACTATTACGCACATTTGGTTTTGGTGCTCGCTTGGTGCGCAATTTTTTTCTACTAGATTTTATTCTATTTTTAAAAGTTTAAGTAAACAAAAATCATGTCTATATTCCGAGTTGACATCCCACGTAGTGTTATATTAGGCCTAGAATATTCGAGAAAGTTTAGGGGAGATCACTCCCGGTTTATTTCATAATAAGAAAATAAGTTTCGCATTTGATGTGTGTTTTTACTTTCTCGTATATACGAAGTAATCGTGCAAAAAAAAAATCGAGATTTTTGCAAATCTCGACGTTTTACACCTCACTGATACGGAAAAACATAATTTTGCAATCTTGTCCGTATGTCAGTGTGTCTGTCTGTCTGTCTGTCTGTGTGTGTGTCTGTGTGTAAACACGATAACTTGACCCCTGGCCTAGGTAGACAAACCTAAGAAGACTTTTAACTTTTCACGCCACTGAGTCTATCATTATCATTGTTTACGATTAAAAATAACAGCGGAAGCAATTGCTCTATTTACTTTTTACCGATTTAATAAAATATTCACATTTGGTTCGAAAAAAAAAAACGCTAGGTTTTGAGCCCCTAGCTGGCAAGTACCAAAACGAGAACTTGACCTACTTTTATAACTTTTTAGGCGAAGCCAAGCTACAAGTCCTAGAGCAACGATTAGGATTAAAATTAATAAAAAGGTAACTTATTGATATGCGTGTTATAAATTAATTTACGCTTTTGATTTTTGTTAAATTTAGTCTGTAGGCCTATAGGAAATATAGGTAATCTATCGTGCGTAAAATCGGCCGCGGCTTGATCTCTAGATAATCTAGATCCTAGATCTAGATCTAGATTTTAGTAAGTAATGTACGAAAAAGTTATCTTATTTTAATATTTTCGGTAAAATCTTAGTTTAGCGTCGTAAATTCGGCCAAAACTAGATCTAGTAATGTAGGAGAGAGTGAATTAATGAATATGTCATTAAATATGAGTATATTTTCGTATATTTTGATAAAATATTATAGATAATTGAATAATAGATCACCATTTAATCATTTAATATGGTTAAATCAATTTAGGCCTAGGCCCTATATAAAATATATCCTGAAATTAATTTTTATCAACCCTGTTCGTGATAAGATCTAGTAAATTTGCTATTAAAAACAGCAGCCATCTTAAGAAAATGTTATTTAGAGTAGCTTTCATTTCTATTCGTATGAAAATGTATTTAAATATGATTGTCTTGTTGTATGTATAGTCCGTATTATAAAGCATTTTTTTTTAAAATTCTGCCCTTTAAAAACTGAATTTCCTAACAAACAACTTTATTAATTCTAGAAGCATTGTTGTGAGATGCAACTTGTATCCATGTATTAGGGCCTAAGTAAATCACGTTTTTTTTTACTAATGTTTATAAGATCTTACTATTACTATATAGTTTGAGTTTTTTCTTATTGTTTGAATGTTCCCTATTTTCATTTCAGGTTTTTCTTTTCATCAATTAGTGATTCTATTGTAACTTATGACATTTTTTTTACTTCTCTTTACCTTAATTAAACCCCAACCTCCGTCATATTTTTGTTGTCAATGTCACAACAAGTCATAATGTAAAAAAATACGCTTCACTATGCCTTATCTAAGATCTCTACCATAATTTTGACAATAAATGTTAGTCATCATTTATATATACAGAGAGACAAAATGTAGTATCCACCAGCTTCCCTCTAAAACATCTAAAACAATGAGCCAATCCACCCCTTAAGTGCGTGTTGTCATTATGGTCGATCGCAAGTCTCCACCTGCCAGACACATTTTGGTTATCCTTTGTTGTCAAAATGTCAATATCAAGCACCCAAGTGAGTGATATGGGGTTGTCCATAAATGATGTCACATATGATTTGCTACGGGAGTGAGTGAAGATTTGTGACGTCAACTCAGGCGGCTCAGCAATTTATGACGTGTGGGTCTCATGAAAGGAGGTGAACGGGGAAAAATACCTCTATAATGCTTTTTTCAATCAAAATAACGATGAATAAGCATTAGTATACGTATAACTTCCTTAAAACGAATCATCACAAATGTTGCAAGCCTGCTAGTTTAAGACATTTGGCAAAACGGCCTCAACACATTATCCCCGTCAAAAAGGCTTGCCACCAAATGCCTGCCGACGAATAAGCCGCGTCTAATGCGGGGCGTTAGGAATACGGCCATTAGCATAGGCCGCGTTAGAGCGCCAGTAGGCTATCGCGCTTTGTAAGATGATGTAAATACTTAAATTCAATTTCGCTAAACTGCGCGAAAATTTAGTAATGTTCCATCGTTTGAGGAAATTTATTTTCTTGGACTATCATGTTGACTGTCTGGCTCTTAATTTCCGAATATCACTTTTAATGTTTCAAGATTCAGAACTATAATTTACTTCAATATAAGTGTCATCTTATCGTTTATTGTGCTTTTTATAAAGCGCAGAGCAGCTTCAAAATCGGACGGCCATCCTGTTTTCACCAAGCTTCTTTTGGAGCTTATTGGGTAGTCTAATTCTATACAGTGGGAGCTTAATACATTTTTAAAGGGCCGAAAGTCTCAAGACAGCAAGCTTGCAGAAATAACTACGTACGTTTAAATGGACGGGTGATAGATGTGTTAGGGGCTGTTAAATGAACACCAACTTATGTAATCAAATTAAATGTTGCATAAGCGTCAAAAAGGCAGTGCTTGTTTTTTTTTTCTATAAAATTAGCCTAACGGTCGGCAGTACGTGTACATGACGTCACGCGCGAGCTTTAACTCGGTGACGATGTGCTAAGTGGGGGAATGAAAAAGGTGGGGTTCAAGAAATGCGACTCAGCAAGCTTTTTACATTTCTTGACCCTTCTTAATAGTTCTATCGTCCCTACTGAAAAAATGGATCACCAATGAATGACGCGTCATACTTCTACAGCTGGTCTTTCTCCCACAACCATCCCCTGTTTTCACGAAAAGAAAAAAAACCTGACCCGTCTCCAAAATCTCATCGCTGAGTTCTACTCAACCTCTCCCCACCACAAATCACAATTTCTATCTGAAACAATATATTCATATGTTTGTTCTGTAATATTGCACGCTGTTATTACTATCTAATATTGATTTGCTTACTGCAAATAAAGTGTTCAAAAGTTCGATCTCCCAACAATTGTTGTGGTCTTGGATGCACACTATTAAGTCTGGAAAGGTATATTAGTCATTCATGTCAACTATATTGAAATAAAAAGAAACATTACTATTCAGGGGGTCATCCATAAATGATGTCACGCTTTTTTTGACGATTTTTACTCCCCCCCCCCCTCCCCTCCATCACACGTCTGTCACAAAAAGCCAGACCCCCTCCCTAAAGTGACGTCACACCTCAGCCTACAACCTCCACCCCCCCCCCCCAAAATTGCAGTTGAATTTTTTAAAACAGCTATATTTTTCCAAAATCTTGTCTGAACTCTGTCAAAATAGAGTATTTTAATCAAATGTTATTACAATGACTGTATTAAAACAATTTTCTAAAACGCAAAATAACGTCTAAAATTCGTTTTCTAACATTGCTTTTTTATAATGCAAAAGTGTGAGGTCGCACCATCTGAACCCCCTCCCCACACACCGTCACAAAATTACGCCCCCTCCCCCTACGCGTGTGACGTCATTTAAGGACGACCCCCAGGCATTTATTAAAACAATACAAAACAGTCATATTAAACCACAAAATCAACACCAAAGACATGCGAATAGACAATTTTTCAAGGGAAACTACTCTATTATTGTTTTTGAAACATGGCAGCTGCTTGTATTTACTCATTGTTGTCTCGAACGGGGTAGTTTAAAGTTTATTCCAGGATGTTTATGACTGGTTTGGTCTTGGATTGTGATTTGTTATTCAATTATCTGTTATATTATGTAAAATATGACATAAATATGGCCAAATGAAAGAAATATTCATTAGTTACCTTCATCGCACATTACTAGCTACGTTGGAATTTATGACGCTAAACTAAGATTTTACCTTATTTTCAAGGCATTATTAGGTTAGCCTAATTAATATTTTAGGTAATCTATCGTTTTAGGTACGTAAAATCGCCCGCGACTTGTAATGTGAAAAACAGGTGACTTCATAAATTTTAATAATTATTTCACATTTTGAGGAGGATTTATGTTTTTTAAAATACAAAAATGTTTCCTTGTTTCATTTATGTACCTGGTTTTAAACAGTTGAATTAAAACTTTTCAGTAGGCCTAATAAATGAAGGTAAAACCTTAGTTTAGCGTCGGAAATTATCGGGTAATGTTTGTTGAGTTTTGGTAACTAGAGTTACGGTAAACCATGGTTCATTTGACATTGAAATATAAATAAATTGAAAGTCGATTGTAGTAAATTAATGTTTAATGTTTAAATTGTTTAAGTTTAATCGACAAAAGGAAACCAGAATAAATATAATATTAGATTAAAATTAGTAGATCTAAAAATAATAAAAAACATATATAGGGCCTAAATAATGAAGTCAAATGTAATAATTTAATGTTTTTGTCTTGCAGCGGATTTGCGACCATTAATTAATTAGAGGTCTAGATCTAGCTAGCTGCTAGGCCAAGTAAAAAAAATCTAGTTATAACTAGTTATATAAAATGAGTATTAAAGCAGTATTTAACACGCAATTAAAATAAATCTATCCATATTTTAAACATTCTGTATTAAAAATAAAAGATGACGCCAAATAAAGTATGGTTTACAGTACTTCCGGTGGATACCGGAACTGTGTGACAGACTTTGCCATTGTTTTACTGTTTTTTACTGCTATGCGATTCCGGAATAATAACCGACGTTAAACTAAGGTTTTACCTAAATGAAGACTAGCGATGATTCCAACAGATGCAACCATGCTCATTTACTATAGCAGCCATCTTGTTTAAGTTTTATTTTTATAGACATAGTAAATTTTGCCTAATTATCTCAGAATGATAAAACACACATAATATTGAAGGCCATGAACTGCCATTTAATAAACCACTAAATTTATCACTGTAGGCCCAGTATATTTTTTTTTTATGAATTTTTAAAGTTTTAGGTTAAACAGCTTATATTTTATTGTAAAGTTGCAAAATATTTAGTGTCCTTCTTTGGGTTCATATAGTGTTGTTGTTATTTAACATGTTATGATAAAACTTTGCGTATTGATACTAGAAAGTACAGGCTACAGGAATATGCAATTAAAATAAAGATCAGTAAAGTGAAAGCCAAAAATAATTTAGACTAATTAACGGACATGGCGTTTTTATATAGATTGTGCAATAAGCCAAATAGTACATCTTTTATTTTTTGTGTTTGTACATACTTGACAACAGACAGCTAAAAAGTTAATTACTTACTTTAGTAGAACATATTTGTCCCCTCCTCCTTTCTCATCCTGGACTTGGGACCAGGCAATGGTGGAGTTAAACAAATTAATGAATAATCAATTATCCAATCAGCAAGGTTATGTGCCAAATAGAGGGTACAAACAATGAAAAAGAAACAATCAGTGTAATAGAGGGCTAGCTATGATTTGTGTTATGGAACATAAACCATACTACTTTTCTCTGGCAATATAACTTACCAGGATGTATCTATATGTAGAATGGTTAAAAATGACTCATTGCAACTTATCTCCAACATTTTTTTACTAGGAAACATGTCAGG